GTCGCGCCCCCTCCCTTTGCCCTCGCGCTTCGCTCAAGCGTAACTGACACCCCCGGCCTGTCCCTGAGGGGCGCTCACGGCCGGGACCCCTCTGCGCTGCCCGACACGGGGTCGCTGAAGGAAGGGAAGGAGGCCCCGGCAGGCTTTTAGTCGGGTGGAGGGAGAGCTGGTTAATTTCTTTGGTTTGGTCGAGGCGGTTTTTGTAAGTGGGAAATTGGGCCTGTAACTGCTCGAGGTTCGGGAAGGAGTGAAGCCGCTGGGAACACCAGGGGAAGCTCAGCCGGTGAGTTTCCATGAGAGGAATGGAGGGTTGGTTCGTGTTTGGTGTCTTTTTTAATATTAGAAGTCTGTCCTTTATCGTTCAAAAGGTCTTAGGCTGAAACTCTCAGAACGTTTCAGTCTGAGGCTTCAAAATAATTGTTTTCAAATTTTCTTCCTGAGGTAGAATTTTTTTGATTTAAGAATGACTGAGGAAAGCGGAGGTGGGGAGACTTAGGTGGCCCTAAGGAAAAAAGAGAAGTTTTGGTTTGTCTTCTTCAAATATGCTTCGTCAAGCTCCTCACGTTTTTGGACTCTATTTGAATGAAAGGCCCACCTAAATTTTCCTCCAGGTTACCTTAATCAGCAACTTGTTTCAGGTGAATTTTGTTGCATTATGCTGGATGTGGGATCTCTTGCAGTCCTGGAAAAGCTACGATTTGTGAGAGGGTTACAGAACAGATCATGAACCCTGATTTAATTTCTCTAAAGCCTTATTCTTGTACCTAGCTGTGGACACAGACGAGCAGTTCCACTGACCGTCATGGAGCTCTTCCATGTCTGAAGCTCACAAGTGAAGGTCTTAGCGAGGCCATGGTCCATTTCAAGGACCAGAGAGAAGTTATAACTGTGCAGTAACTGGAACAGGAAGGAAAAGGCAGTGAAACAGCTACATGCTGTTTAAAAAAGAGCAACAGGCAGTTTGAGAGTCAGAAATAAGTCATTACCAACCAGTTGCAGCTGGTGACATGGGGTAGTTCCAACAACCCCTTTTTTTTTCAGAAGCAGCTTTTCAGTTAGTAGTGGGTGAATTGTGTATAGTCTCTAAATGCTTTTTCTTATAACAGTTTTTCTTACAAAGCAATTTGCCTTGTATCACTTTATTATTTAGTTCCATTTTTAAGTGTTGTTTTACGTGTATGTAATCTGCTGTATTTTATAACAAGTGGGGTTTTTTTTTCTCCCAGTCTTAGTTAATACATGGCTTCCCAAGAGGAAAAGCAAGCTCAGCCCTTTGCAGACTTCTTTGATGAAGATGAAGCTGAAAAATCCTTTCTACTGTCCAAGCCCACTTGCTTCATTATCCTTGGAAAGCCAGTAAGATATCTGACAGAAGATTTCTTTCAGATATTCTGCTAAAAATTTTGCTCTTCCTTTCAAAACATTAGTTTAGTGACACTGCCAAAAAGATCAGACCTACTTTTTTTATCTTTTCAACTTTGCAAATCCTGCATGATATGGTAAAGGTTCTGATCTCATTCAATGAGAAAAAAAATTGGCCTGAGTGACCAGTTACTTTAATATTAACACTTTGACATAATTATATGTCATATATTTGGGAATAACTGAAATCCACCAAGGTGTTCTGGTAAGGAGACGTACTGTATTTTAACTGTAATTCAAAGTCTCTCTTCTTCCCAGTTTATGACCTGCTTTACTTAGGAAAATTTGATGTTTTGTAATCCTATACTTCTTGGATTTCTTTTTCTCAAATACAGGAAACCCTGTGGGTGCTTTTACATTAATGCCTTAGTTTGCTGTAGGAGATTCCTTTTTGGAGCAAGTTTGCCTTATCTCTATACTGAATCTGGTATGCATTTAAACACACCACTGTTGCCTGAAAGCTGCTTTCCCCTTAAACATCGCTGTTGCCCATGAAAGGTGCCATCAGAGCACAGCACTTCCAATGTGAACACAAGGTCCTCTAGGAGCTTGCTCTCTGCCTTTGTGTGCCATTCCATTGGGTCCCACAACAGAGCCCAAAATGACCACGTGGGAATCTGCTTTCTGCTCCCTACCAGGTAGAGAGGTGCTTCTCCCACCTAGAACTGGCGATCAAGCCAAACTTCAATGCCAGTTGTCCCACCAAATCAAGACTCAGTCCCTCTTTGCACCACACCGCATACTAATGTAGAGCCATCCTGTGTGGTGCAGTATGCTGGGACATTGTCACATGACGATGGTGGGTTATATCATGGGAAAAGGACATAGTGCTAAAATGCAGCCGTGTTTCCTTTCTTCTAAGACTTTCCAGCAGGCTGAAAGGCTCCCAGTCCCTAGGGTTTACACAGGTCTGCATTATTTCAATGCTCCTTGGCTCCAGATGCTGGGTGAGGCTTGACTGCAAGTCTTTACAAACTGAGAAAGGAGACAGGGTGGTGTTCTGCAAGTGGATGAGATGCAAACACCACAGGAAGACTGTGTGAGAGCCCACAACTGCACCTTATGGTCACTGTGTGACTTGAAAGAGTGCATTCAGCTCAGTAAAAAACTACAATGGGCTGACTCAGTTTTAAACAAACAACCTATTTCTAACCTTATATGAGAAAGGTGACTTTCCATTTTTACAGACCAAATAAGAATAAAATACTCCGTGAAAAACAATGCAAAAAGAATACAAGAAATTGATAATGTTGCCTTCAGTGCATGCTTGATATTAATACAAATTTTAACGAAGGGTTGAAATTGCACAGGTCTGGCCAAGAGGACAGAGAGTTAACTATTCTATTTTTATGATAATATCTTTTATTTATATTACTGATATGTAGAACATCTATCTTACTTAAGTTATACATTTGATGTTAAAAGCGTAGTGCCTTTAAAACAAAAAACGTAGCAGAAGATGGTGAGTTTTGCAAAATCCTGTTCAGGTGGCTGTACTCTTGGAAGCCTCATTACTCTTGGTTATGTTTGTTCCTCAGTATTCATGTAAGTGATCAAATAAACATTTTGTCAGTATCTAAACTAAATTTGTGGACTACCGAGGGCATTTAATTTTGTATTTGTTATTTTTGTCAAAGAATACTATCTCTCTGTATCTTACTCAGAAATGGCTGAACAAGTTTGCATTGTAATGTGCTTTGAGACTGAAGATAATAAATTTCTGTCCTAAAGAGTTTCTCATAGGAATTTATGGCCAAATCATAGCTGAGTTTCAGATAAAGTTACTCAGAAATAAACTCACTGTTATTACGTTAGAGATAATTAACTGCAAAGGGCAGTAACAGTACATTAACAATGCCAGGCAGTATAAAATAGAGGATAGGATTAAAAGAATGTGTTTGCCCGGTGCATAACTCAGAGACCTAATCCTGATAGTAGCTTTTAATTGTTTTTATCGTATGAAAATATATTCTTTATTGTGTAATATGTCTGGATTTTTTTCCTGCTGTCTCTTTTTTCTTTTAAATGTGTATTTTTCATTTTAAGGGTTCTGGAAAGAAAACATTAGCAAGAAAACTAGCACAAATATGGAAATGCGTTTTCATAGAAGGTAAACATACCATCTGAAATGTTGCTTTGACTTGATAATGTCTTTTGGGTTAGAATATCCATACTGTTGTTTGTAATTGCCTGACTGCAGTAAAGACTACGGATAAGGAACAAGTAACCATTTTGCCAGAAATGCAATTGCTGAAAAATGGCCCTTTAGTTATAGAAAGGCTTAGATTTTTTTATGTGTTGTTGGGGTTTTTTTCAGAAGAGGATATACATAATACAAAATAATCAAATTCTATTCCCAGTCCTCTAAAGTGATTCATGTGACCCTTCTTGTTCACGTGGAGGCAACTCATTCAACTCCAGAGACCACAGAGATTTTCCAATACAGACCATGAAAAAACAGGAGGATATTTCTTTTCTGTTTGTGCAGTGTCTAATATAAGGGGGTGACATGCTCCAGGAAATAGAAGTGTAGCTTTTGTATCACTATAAGTAATAATGGAAGGAATGGGAGTTGGTACTTTCAAATTTCTAAAACAAAAATAGCTGATGGCTTATTTCAGAAGATGTAGTTAATCTCTCCTGCCATGCATATAGTAAAATACAAGATATTCATGCTGCATCAAAGAAGCGTGGCCAGCAGGTCAAGGGGAGGTGATTCTCCCCCTCTGCTCTGGTGACACCCCACCTGCAGTACTGCATTCAGTTCTGGGGGCCCAGCATAAGAAGGACATGGACCTATTGGTGCAGGTCCAGAGGAGGGTCACAAAGATGATCAGGATGGGGCTGGAGCACCTCCCCTGTGAGGACAGTCTGAGAGAGCTGGGACTGTTCAGCCTGGAGAAGAGAAGGCTCCAGGGAGACCCTATAGTGGCCTTCCAGTACCTGAAGTGGGCCTACAGGAAAGAAGAGGAGGGACTCTTTGTCAGGGAGTCTAGTGACAGTAAAGAGGTAAAGGTTTCAAACCTAAGAGATTAGCTCTTAGGAAGAAAATCTTCACTATGAGGGTAATGAGACACTAAAATAATATTTTAAAATCCATATTTTTTTTAAGCTCTGGTAATATTTTTGTATCTGTGACATTATAATTCACAAATCTTGATTTATTCCCTTAAGTTTTATGAAAAAGGAGAACTTCTCCACCAGATTTGTCCTACCAGTTTGAAGGCTAATATAATCTTTTTAAGTGGAAGAAAAGAAAGCATACAATAACCTTAACTATGAAACAATTTCTTGAGTGCCTCTTTGGGGATATTAAATTATAAATCTGATTCTATGGTATATATGTGTACAATTTTTCTGATTATGAGCTAACTCTTAAATATTTTTTTTTTCTTTTAAATGTATGGTATTTTTTATTCTTTTTATAAAAGCCCTCTAGTGGATAGTGTAACACGTTATATTCCTGTGAATAGGTAAGGTTATTTATCAAATAAGTGTCTTTATCTTATTTTGAAGAGGTGGAATTATAATATGGTAAAATTATTTTTTGATGAAGTGCTTTTTTGACTTATGTAAATATAGAATTTTAAATTCATAAGATTGTCTAACAAAAAAATGATACCTTGTCCAAAACATAGATCAGATCGAAACTGAAGGGACCTTAGGAATGTACTTTAGCCAGTTTGAATGTATTAAAACTGTTATTGACAAACATATATCAAATTTGGTTTTAAAAATCTTCAGGTAGTCTATCTCTGTAACACAGTCTTTGCCATTAGAAAGTTACTTTTAATGACTGATGTAAATTTCACTTATTACATTTTCATGTAATTTTTCATGTATTTCTAGTAGATTTGTACTTCTTTTGCTCAAATTTCTTTTAATCTTCTCTTGTCTAGTGTACCCACATGTGTGCACACACTCCTTCCTTCAACTTTTGCTAATAGATTTTTCTTCATTTTCCACAGCAAAAAAGATACAAAGAATTAAGCATACATAAACATGAAAAATTCAGCTCAGAAAGGACCTTCAGAGGTCATTGAGTCCAACCTTCCACTCAGAACAGGATCAACTAGAGCAGGTTGCTCAGGGCTGTGTCCAGCTGAGTCTGGAATATCTCCAAAGATGGAGACTCCACCATCCCTGTGGGCAACGCTTTCCAACGTGTGACCACCTTCCTGATGAAAAATTGCTTCCTAGTTACCCCACTGGAATTTCTTATGTTTCTACTTGTGTCTGTTGCTTCCTGTCCTGTCTGCATTTCTGTGAGACAGTGGTTCTGTCTTTGTACCTTCCCAGTATGTAGTTTTAGACAGCAGTAAGGGCTGTCCTGTTTCCTCCAGACTGAACATGGCCAGCTCTTTTGGCTTTTCCTAGTATGTCCAACGCTTCTAATCGTCTTATCCTGCAAGATATTTTTTATTTTAAAAAATAATTCAAAACAGAGAAGTATTAAATAGGAAAGGTGTTCACAGTCTTTTTAATTTGACAACATTTTTTCTATCCATTTATCCGATGAATAAATCAACACCCATAAATAAAGCAGGGCCAGGATACACGTACAACGCCGATTTTCAGTTGTCTCTATTGTTTGTTAGTTCATTCCCTCAGTTTTGGCCCATGGCAAATACTGCTCTCCTGAACTTCCATTCATGGTATGAAGGATAGCATGGGCAACAGACTGCATTACTAGTAGGAACAGTTTGAAAACAGCCACTGTGTTTTGGGAAGAAAAATTTTAATGAAGCCACTTGGCTTCAGGACCTTTCTCTGGCCTGGTTTAGTGATAATATGGATGTAGCCATAAGGGTCACTCTTGAAACCTTTTGTTAAGTGTCTGCTTATTTCAATGGTAGAGAAGTGTAAAAGACTTCCAGGATCATTGATCCTGCTGGGATGTCACTGTCCACAGAGACAGAGGGCAGGTCTTTGAATCCGATGGGTGTCAAATTAAGTATTTATTTAATTTTAGATAATTAGACTATATAAGGAGTAGGGTTTTAGGGCTTTTATTTTTACAGCAGATGGTTTTGTGTGTCTAAACAGTTCTTTTTCTAAAACTTGCTTTTAAAGTTTGGGAAATGTTTAAGATCAAATACTCATCTCTGGATTACAAGGCAGTAATGTTAATTTCATCTAAATTGGTACTTTAAATAATTACCGACGATTAACATAATCCTGCAAGGCTGCTGTTGTGCATTTTTCTGTAGTATCTGTAATGTGAAATTCTAGGGAAAAACATCTGCCCAGAAAGCACCAAGTTCTGGATGAACAAAATGTAACAATGGCACTTCATTATGCATATAATGGCTGTTCATTCAAAAATAGTCTGGTTGCTTGGACCACATGTGTGTTCCTGTGTATGTACGTGAATGTACATGTCTGTATATACAATATTTTGTATTAATTATTTTGACTTCATTTTGTCTGATGTGCTTCCTCAGCTTTGGAAGTTATTCAAATGAATATTCGTGAAGAAACAGAATATGGGCTTCAGGTAAAGGTCTAATCTAATGAGTTTTGTCACGTTCTTGACAAATACATATTATGTAAGACTATGTTTTGCATTTTACCTTAGTGTCAAGAGTTGCTTTTTAAAGGTCAAAGTATTTCTGAAGAACTGGTTACAGAAATGATTCTGAAAAAGATTGAGTCACCAGAAGTTGCTCATTTTGGTAAGTATATTTATAGCCTAAGCTTCTTAGAATGAGCTAGCTATAATTTTGACACTTCACATCCATTAGTGCTCAAATGTAATTTATTTCATATTAGGTAGTGGCACTTTTTCTCGTGCTCCTTGAGTTGTGGAATATCCATAAACTGAGAGTGTATTTAGGGATTAATTTACTAATATGGAAGATAAGAAAGTATCAGACCAGTCCTATGTTGTATTAATTTTGAAAAAATGAATCTGCCCCAGATTTTAAGTGTTGCTGTGACTCTTGTTTGACAATCTTACCTGGCTCTACAAGCTTCAGGATTTAAAATACAGATTATTTTTTTCTTGAATACTTCTATAAGATTGGACTTGATGATCTTAAGGCCCTTTACAACCTTGGTGTTTCTATGATTCTGTGATTTTCTACAACAACAAAACCCAACCTACCAGTAAAAATATTTTAAACATTTAAAATAATGAAAAAGAAGGAAATCAGATTATTGAAAATGCAAAGCACTACACTCTTTTTTCTACTAACAACATTGCTTATTCCTTTTGCATTTTGTCACTAAGTTAGATGAAAATAGTATTAACTGGTAATAATCCATCTTTTTGAAGAAAGATTATGTTAATTGAGGCTGTTAAGACTAGTGCTGCTAGAGTCTGAAACTGCTTTCCCAAAGAGAAAGTAGAAAAAAAATTAAAAGAAACTGTAGTTTCTTTTTTCTGGTGCTGACCACAGAGACTGTAATAATGACTATAAAGTTGGTAAAAGTTTGGTTCTTGTAGCCGTTTTCTGTATTACAGAAACCCCTAATTGGCCAGGAATAGGAAAAATAGTGAAGATGTAGGTTATTCTATCAACTAGAACTCATCTCCAACCCAACTTTTAGTATTTTCTAGTTCTAACTACTTTTTGATTAGTAACTATTATCTTAATATAATCGTTGAAATGCTTAAGGAGGCTTTCAGCAGG